GCATCTCCCTATAATGTACAAAGAATCAGTTAGCATCACAAATCTCAACTGATTAACGAACAATCATATTTACTGAGAAATGCATATTTCGACAAAGCTGATAAATGTACTTACTGTAGCAGCATTTGCTTGACCAGCATTAATTAATACAGCACGTGCCTAAACACAAAATAAAGCTCTATGCTCAAATGACTCCATGTACGGACTTGTTTGACAAACTCAAAAAAGCCAATTTAACCTTCATTTGAAGAAGAAAAGTGTCATAATGAGAAAGAAAACTTTTTACAGACCGTAGTTGAGGTGTCCAGGACATTTCTGCAATAGATAACTGGCGCGGCTGCAACAATGTTGGTAGTAAAAGCTCCTGGAGATAGAAAAAAATTGGTTTTCATCATTCCATCATTGGTAAGAGTACATTTTCTTGTTTAGATATGTTAGATCATTAAGAGTACACTATAGCACCTAGGAATAGTGACATCACAAATATAGCATGGCTGGCAATCATAATAACAGTGAATTCCTTTTACTAAATAATATTTGCTGGTTATCTTCAGTCTAATAAAATTTTATGTCAAGTACCTATGCTATGATGGAATAAGTAAACTCACCAGCAGCAACCGCATCAACTTCACATGTCACCAAAGATAAATCAGGTTTATCTCCTTTTGCCCTCAGCCCACCATATATGCCTGCAGCTTTAAACCCTTTTGGTGCTGTAACACCACCTGGTATCTATGAGATAGTGACAGTGACAGTAAGAAATCTTATGATATGTATCTAAAATGCTTTTTACTTTTGCATACTACTATCTCTAAAAATTGAAGCTTAAAAGTAGAAGAAGGTATATGTGATGCTGACGTTAACCAGCAAGCAGCATCTAAGTACCATGAACTTTATTTGTCAAGCTCAATTTATACACAGAGAAACATCGACCTTCTAGGTGCAGGCTATTAACAACTACAACTAAAGATATAATTACAGCATACAGGAGAGATGAGTAAGAAACTCTGGAAAATTTTGGAGAAAGTTGCACTAACAAAAAGACTGGGGAGCAACCACCTTCTTGAAAGAAGGTTTTGGATCATGGAGTTCTGTATTTCATTTAATGGCTGATATATTTTGGTTTTCTATTTTCCAAATAAGCATTTTTACTATGCCGTTACCATAGTTGATTTTCAATGAAATCAATTGGTGTTCATCCTGTCACACAGATGCTCAGAGAGAAATTAGATTGATTGGATGGTCAAGGCAGAAACGGATGATAAAAGGTTATTCTTGTTATTGGGCTGGTAATTTCCTTCAGAAGAGTCATCCTATTCTACACGAAGATGGTATCAGGATTGCAAGACAACCTATTACATATCTATATCTTATCTTCTCCTTTAAATCTCCCCTTTATCCCAACCCTTCAATTCCTTTCTTTTCTGACTTTATCTTTTCTTCCACTATAGCCACCAACCTACTAGACTAGCAGGTCCTCTAGTTCGATCTGGATCAACAGAGTGTTGGAATTTTGGAGATTGATGCAGATGCATACAGCCTTTTCGGTGTGTTTTCTGAAGCTATGTGCCCTAAGTCACACGTTGAAAGGCTCAATTACACCATTCTATCATGAGCCCTTTTTCTCTTCATATCATGGTCTCATTATCAACATGGCAGATTCACAACAGAATCTGCCAAATCCAATCTCAAAACCCTCAATAACAGTTCTTGGATATCAACTGAGATCAGCTTCATCCAACAATCCATTTGGTCATGCCTATTCCAGATACTCTGAGACCAATCCTGATCAATGTCCATCTGATCATATTAATTCCGAATTGGGATATACCCTCACAAATTTCTAGCATTTAAATAAGAAAGGTAAAAGGAAACTATAATTTAATTTAGCAATCTGCTTATTCATAAGTTCAAAAATCTATATCCTATGATTTATCCAAAACCCGATCCTCAGAATTTCAAGTAACTCTCCTTTGGTTTAATTGTAATAGAAATCTTCTTTGTCTGGTTTACTTGTAATAGAAATCTCAATAGCGACAAAAGATCTATGTAATCAATTCCAAATAGTTGGAACTTACGGCTTTATTGTTATTGTTGAACTTGTAATAATAATCAAGTGACCATGGTTTTACCACTATACATGTCCTTAACATCATATCCGTAATAGATTAAGATATCTTCTGTTATTCATGTCAAGTGCTCAGAGATAATCTGCTTTTTATATAGCGCACGCAGCATAAAACTTTATGTGTCCTAAACGGGATTTGTCGACGACAGGGAATACAGGGCACAGCAGACGATAATCGCATTGCCACACACGGAACCGGTCATTTCTCTACAGGCATCGAAGTACAGCTATCAAAATTTTAGGGCGAGAGAAAGGAAATGACCTGCGTCCACGGTCCCTCGGGAAGAAAAATCGGAGCCGCGGGGATATAGCTCGACGCCGTAACGGTCTCCGGAGAGATGGTGGCGGAAACTCGAAGCCGAAGCCAAGGAGCTGCGTGGGTTCCACAAACCTGTAGGGTCGCACACCCACGCGCTCAAGAGATCGGCGAGAGATGCTGAGGAATGAAGAGAGATGAAATGACCTTAACGCGATGGAAGCGAGACGCCGGCAGCGAGAGCGGGTGGTTTAGAGCAAGAGCCATCGCCGGAAGATTACCCTCAAGTCTTTCGTTTCTTGGTCCGGGCGGCGCAAGTGAAATCTGTTTCCCAAGTGGAGTTTGGAGACCGGGAGTGATGAGTGGGTTTCAGAGGGCGCGATTAGGTTGGAGCTGCGCGATTAGTTATTCACGATCGTAGGGGACCGAATGAGGGGTAATCATAGATTAACCCCTAAAGTTAATTATGATTAATATTTTTTATTTTTATATTTAAAAAAATAGTATTGGGATATCTGTATTGGTTCACTTTTCTGGAGTTTGACTCTACTGTGGCAATTTTCTATCAATCTCTTATTTATGTTAGAAGTTGTCACCTTTAGAGATGACATCTCCTGCTACATTTGTATAGTAAAAATTGTAACTAAAAACACATATGAAACATAATAATCATAGTGGTAATTTTTATACAGTAAAAATTATTGATGAGCAGGTTGGAAAGAGAGACAATGGATGAGCAAATACATGTGTAAGCGACAAGCGAGTAGGCACAATGGACAAGTGACATATGAGTAGGTATGACGGGCGAGGGGTATGCGAGTGTGACGAGCGATACGTGCGACAAGCGAGCAAAAACAACAAATATAGTGAGGCGAATATGTTGGAATAAGAAGGCGAAGAGAAAATCGATCAGAAAAGTTTATATATAATTAATAATTAAAAATAAAAAAATATATTTTTATCCTTCATTGGTATTGTTTTTGCACATGACAATATGTTTATTTTTTTTTGTTGAGAAAATTAATAATATAAAAAAAATTAAGATTAAATATTTCACTTTCATATATATATATATCTCAATATTACTTTTAAAAATATAGATATTGGAATACTAATCATAGGGAATAGTATATAATTATCCCTTGTTTCCAATGTAACAGTTAGCTAAAGATTTTAATTATATATATATAGTTTCGATTGATCGTGAATAACTATGAAACTATGTATGTGTTATGTGTTATGCTGCCATGTTATGTCTATTTGGTACATTAGTAGTTCATCGTTAAGTAGAATCTACATATTGACTTCTAATTGGTAATGGATGGCTTAAATAAATCTTAAGCTTATTGATAAAGGATTTGTTTTTCAAGCTTAATAGTAGAGAACATTATTGCTAATTAAAAAAAAGGACATTAAATATCAAATCATATTAGTTTGTCGTGATTTTTTATTTATACAACTTCAATAAAGATAATGTTTGTATTTCATCATCCATAATTATATGAGTTTCATAAACATTTTAATGGTACATGACAGGGTATATTTTGGTCTTAGATAAATCTCCAACAAACGTTGCAAACTAACAATCGCGAACGCAACACCGTATGCCACCAGAAATGCGGGGTGCACGCTATGTCAAGTTTCAACAGTGCAACATGATCACCCCAAGAGTTTGGGATGGTGTCGTTTGCTATTAGGGCAGTGTCGTTTGACACCGCTCAAGCACACTCGAAGACACCATCTCGTCAGAGGGGTTGTCTCGCCCTCGCGAAAAAGTCAACGGCCATGTCGAACCACGGCCCAACCAACTCCCGCACGCAGGTATAAATACCCTCAGCCCGATCCCAAGAGGGGGAAAAAAAAGGAAGGGAATCGAAACCAATCTAACTTTCTCATCGGATGGGCCAAAGTCAGGACTCACCTGACGAAGGGCGTTTTGCAAGGAGGCGATCGCCATCAAGTTGCGAGTGTCTTCATCTCGAAGTCGTCACCCAATACGCAGAGGAGGGTGGCCTAGCGGTTTGGGACTCGACTAGCGCCAACTCGCTCCTCCCATATCAAGGAGACGCCCACGTCACGAGGAAGATCGCCAACTATCCCGAGGACAAGAGGACACATCTCACCATAAACAATGCTCGGGTCGACTGGCTTTGGAGTGTTGACCCCCAATAAGGACCCGGCCAATCTTGCCGCCTCAACCGTCGCCCGAGACTCGAGGGGCGTAGCTACCTCATCAACCCACTTATTCTGTTAGAAGTTCCCGACGTCGACAGGTGGGCCTAATCGACTCATTAATCACGATACTTTTGTTCGCAAAAGGTTACACATATAAATTAGGTTTATCGACAAATATGCAGTATAGATTTAAGAAGTATACGTATATATATACATTTATTGGGGTGTTTATATATATATATATATATATATATATATATATATATATATATATATTTTGGTCACTGGCGTCGCTTCAGAGGAATACGAAAAGATACACTCCGTTAAAAAATAAGCAGGTATTTACAGCGCGCAACGTCGTTGCCTGACGGCGTGGGTTAGGTAGAAACGTGGCATAATGTAATTGGCCAGACCTTGCTTTGCGTGGTCGCCTCTTGCGACGGTCGTCAATGATCCATCATTCCCCCAGACGAAAAAGGAAGGAATACTATCACCACCGCCACTCTCCTTTCCTTTCCTCCCTTCCTCTCTCTGCCTCTTCGCCACCTCCGATCTTCAATCCCCATTTCTTGAGCCTTAAATTTTCCCCACCGATCTCTTTGCTCAGACCGCCGTCGCCCACAAAATGGTACGTTCTTACCGCTCTCCTCGATGCCAGTTTTTTCCCGTCCCTTCTTGTTTACCGATCAAGAAAATTCCGGTCTTAATGAATCGACCAGTGGTTGATTGTATAATAGTTCTGTGTTTCGCGAAATATGTGTATGGTTTTGTGGAATTCTGTTTGATGGTCAGTTGTGTGTTTGATTCCGTGAGGCTAGGGTTTGTGCGTGCGTCTGATGTGATGCATGTCTGATTTGTGTCGATTTGATTGTTGGAAGTCCGATCGTTGTGTCCGATCTTGGTGATGCGTGGATCGTTGTTCTGTTTCACTTATCGTCCCATCTCGCGCTGTTCTTCGTTGGTTCTGCTTATACCGATGGAAAGGTTGGGCCAATTGTGCTTTGGTCTTCGTGACGATCGGTGATGGATGGAGTGGATTCTGTTTTATTGCAGTGATGCAAGGCTTGATTTTGTTTACTTGATCTCTCTATTTATATACACACGTATAATTCTGAACCGGTGGGGATTGGGACTGTCTTTTCCATCCTTTTTTAGCTCTTACTTTTGTCATCATAATATAGATCGATTTATGGCATGTTTTATTGATCTGACTCGGTGTCATGAATTTATAATGCTTATGCTGCTAATATATTGCTTGTGGCATGTTTCCTAGTAAATCTAGTTTCAATGTATTGTCTCAACCAGATCAAGATTTGCTTGTTGATCATGGTATCTGCATTTGTGGGTGTAACTTGTTATGTTGTGAAATGGCAGGCTAATGCTGCATCAGGAATGGCAGTGAACGATGACTGCAAGTTGAAGTTCTTGGAGTTGAAGGCAAAGCGAACTTACCGTTTCATAGTCTTTAAGATCGATGAGAAGCTGAAGCAGGTCATCGTGGAGACGCTTGGCGAACCCAATTTGACATATGATGATTTTACCGCCAGTCTTCCTACAAATGAATGCAGATATGCAATTTATGATTTCGACTTTGTGACCGAGGAGAATTGCCAGAAAAGCAAGATCTTTTTTATTGCGTGGTAAAGTTACCTTTGTCTCTACTCTACATTGTTTAAGATCCATCTAATTCATAGATAATGACTTCCAATTATTTTCCCTTGTTTGGTATGAAGGTCCCCTGACACAGCAAGAGTGAGAAGCAAGATGCTCTATGCGAGCTCCAAGGACAGGTTCAAGAGAGAGCTGGATGGCATTCAGGTTGAATTGCAAGCAACTGATCCTACTGAGATGGGCCTTGATGTTATAAGAGGCCGTGCCAATTGAGTGTGCCTATGCACCTCTTGCTTGTGTGGTGTTCTTCTGTGGTTGTTCGCTTTCACTGGAATGTTCATAGTTTCGTGGAACAGTCAGTTCCCTAGATATTGTGTGGGCTTATGGTTCAAGTTACCAAATAGAACCTATATGAGGCATCTTCCCTCTTCAGTATCTCTTGTGATTTCATTGATGGGATTGGTTTCTCTTCACTGATGTCTACAAGCTAATGGCATGCAACAATTTGTGGGGTAGTAGGCGATAATTGTAGCTATTTCAATTATCTTCCCATGGATGCTTGACCCCAATTGATGTTCTCTGTCGCGCTGATTGCAGATTAATTATGTTGAAGTTTCCAGTCTTACTGTTTTTATATCTGCATCACTAATCTTTGTTTCTGTTTATTTTACTTGTGGGTCATCAGTTCTTGTAGCAAATTTGCTGGCAAACTTGTTACCAAGGAGACAACTATTAAGTATTTTGGGTCATCTTTCCTCTGTTTATGTCCACAATTCTGTGGATTAATTTCTTAGGGAACTTTAGCTGAAGAATTTTTTCAAGCTGATCAAAGTAATGTGCAAATCTTCTTCGTGGCTCATAAAGTGATATATCTACGTTGTTGTATTTAGTATCTCTTCTGGTATATTTTGGCATTGTAGGATTCAGCTTCTTCATTGGTAGTATACGTTTCGAGCTTCTGTGTGTGTATTTTGTGTGCCATTTGAAGGAAGCCCTTTGAGTTAATTCCATAAGCAATGGCTTCTTGAAGTGCACAAGCATTGGTCGTCACCATGTACTTCCACACGAATATGACAACTAGGATTTTGGTCGGCGTGTTTTGTTAACCCTCCGAGAACTCATTTGCTTTTTAGGCACTTGATGATGATTTGGGCGATATTTCTTGAAGTGGTGCACGAAATGTATCTATTGCAGCTTTTGTAGTTGACCAAAAAATCGTCTTTTAAAGAAAATATAAATATTAAAATAAAGGAGAGAATGGCGTCGCCCGGACTCGAACCGGAGACCTTCAGTGTGTTAGACTGACGTGATAACCAACTACACCACGACACCGGTGTGTTTTGGATTAGTAATTCCTATATTAGTTAGCTTAAAATATTCTCTGTCTCCTCCCCACGAAACCCTATTCCTCATCGTCGCCGCCGCCTCTAATTGATTACAACCATCTCTTCACCCCCAAACCCTTTCGCCTATCGACTCCAAAATTCTCCCGCCCTTCTCCGAGGTGTTCGCCTCACGATCGTTCGGTGATGTCGAGCGCACTGGATATGTCCCTCGACGACATCATTAAGAACAACAAACAATCGGCGCCCGGGGGGCGTGGACGGGGCCGTGGCTCCGGTGCCGGCCCCGCCCGCCGCGTCCCTAACAGATCGGCGAACCGATCCGCCCCTTACTCTGTCGGGAAGGTATGCGATTAGGGTTTCCTCCGGCGCCCCGAACTTGATCCCGGCCGATCCGATCGAATCGCCTCCTCCGGTTTTCTCACTTGATCTCCGATCCCAGGCTCCGGACTCGGCGTGGCAGCATGACATGTTCGCGGCTCAGATGGGCGGTGTTCCTGCTCCAGCGGCTAGGGCGTCTTCCATAGAGACCGGCACCAAGCTGTATATTTCGAACTTGGAATATGGGGTTTCGAACGAGGACATCAAGGTGAGGACCCTTTCCTCCCTTTTATCGTTTTGCGGACATCTGGCTTTTGGTTGTTTGATCAGAATTTTTTTGTATTGTCTTTAGCAACATGGGATCCATAGATGTTGTCCTTTTTTTTCTTTTTGTTTGTCACCCAGAAAGATTTCTGTATTTGTCGTGTAATAGATTTCATTATTTTCTAGCAAGGTGTATGAATCCGTTGATTCTACAACAGATGTTATATCGTGGTTTGATTGACCTCGTGTTGGTGTGTTACAATATAGGCCCTCTTTTAGACCAATTTAACTACTTAATTTGTATTCGATGAAGGGATAACATCTTAGAACCAAAGGTTGGAATAGATAGCATCATGTTGAAGGAAAAAGTTCAGATAGAGGTAGACAGAACATGAGGATTAGAAAACTAGATTATTGCATATACATGATTTGTTGAATCACTGAGGCTCAGACCCTATTTTTCTATTTGTTTTAACCATAGTCTACCTAGACACCGTGTTTCTCCAACCAAAATTGCAGTCTTTCTTCCAACAAAATATTCACATGTTTTCGTGTGCATGATCATGTTTGATGTGATATCTTGGTTTTCAGATGCAAATTCTCTTCATAATTTTTTTGGTCCCATTTACTTCATAGTTAGGATGAGGATCTATAATGGTAAGCAAGAGAAAAAAAAAACGAAATTTGATAATTTGATTTGTCTAAGAAGAGTTCTATGTGTACTTCATCTGCAATTCTGTTTATTAGTGACCACATACTTTGGACATGTTTATTAGGATATCCTGTTTAATCTAAGAGCTTGCTTTGTGGAAAATAAACTACTGTGTGCGTGACAGTAGAGTACATGTCCGATGTTCGGTTGTAAGAATGCTCCATATCTTTAATTTTGCTTATTAAGTTCACTTGCTCTTTTTTCCTGGTTTTACTGTGGTGGTTAATTGGTTATGGGCCTTTCTTTATGATGCTATGTTTTATTTGTTCCAGGAGCTTTTTTCAGAGGTGGGTGATCTGAAGCGCTATTCAATAAATTATGATAGAAGTGGAAGATCTAAGGTAGTCCTTCAGCTTGACAGTGGTTCTTTAGTTTCAACATGGTAGTCTCTTCTCATGTTTGGAATAAACAATTCAAGGGAACGGCTGAAGTGGTGTTTGCAAGGCGGGCCGATGCTTTAGCTGCTGTAAAGAGATACAACAATGTGCTGCTTGATGGAAAGCCAATGAAAATAGAAATTATTGGAACAAATATCTCAACACCAGCTGCTGTGCCTCAGTTATCTAATGGCGCTTTTGGGAATTCTAATGGTGCTTCAAAAAGGTTTGCTATACTCTTCAGCGTCTCAGATTTAATTTGATCTCTTATTTGATCAAGCCTTGTTATTTGCAAATATTATATATATATATATATATGAAATATGTTTAATCAATTTATTTTATCTTGTGCATTTCTTTCCTAAAAAGTTGTGGATTTTATAGACAAGTTCCGAGCTGATCATGTTAGCACAATCACCAGTATATGATCACAATACAACAAGATTGCATATGCCACCATTACTGTTTTATTTTTTTTAGCTTAATGAGTTGTATATACTTCAATACAACCATTGTTGTTTTGTCGTCATCACATGTGGACTACTCTGTAGGATTCTTGCTCCAGTGAAACTCTATGCCATCCCATCCTATCCCTTTCTTTTTCTAGTATGTAATGAGGAAGGTGTGAATGGTGAACTTTTAATGAGTAATTTTAATGCATGATTTAGATAAAACTGTGAATGGTGAACTTTTTTGTTTAATCATCATACATGAAATCTCATGAATCCAAATTGCCATTGTATAGGGCATGTGCTTTTTGACAGATATCAACCAAGTCATCTTTCTAAACTTTAAAATTCAGAAAATGTGTGATCATCTTGAAATTTGCAGCTATTTTGCAGTGCCAGAGGAGCTATTTTTCAAAGAAATTATAACTTAGGATTGTTCACCAAACTCCACATAAATATCAGATATAGTGTATTTACTCGAGTATCTTGGTTTGTTCCCTTATACAAATTCTACTTTGAGCTGATATTTCCTAATGTTAGTGGTTCCTGTATGAATGCCACACCTATCTAGTGATTTTTTATTTAAAGCAACTCAAGCTAAATGCTTTATTTATCTTCGTATATCTGGGTTTCTATTTTAGTTAGCATGACTTTTCTTAACTTGCTTTGGCATTGCAGCACTGGGCCAGGAAGGGGTTCTGCAGGATGGCCACGAGGTGGTGGCCGTGGAAGGGGGAGGGACCGTGGACGAGGTAGAGGTCGTGGTGAACCAGTATCTGCTGCAGCACTTGATGCTGAGTTGGACAAATACCATGCAGAAGCAATGCAAACCAACTGAGTGGTCCTAATAGGCTTCTTTAGTTTATAATTGTTGCTTGCTTGCGTGATAGGGCTTGCTAGTTTTATTGTTCCGTAAACACGCATAATGTAGGAAGGGAAGATGATACTGTTAAAGTACCGACTGGGTTTGAGGGCTTTCATTTTCTTACTATTATCGCACTTGATTTCAACGTGCTACTGGATTAAAGTGAACATCTGGTGTCTGGCTTGGTGATTATTTTTATTTGGTCAGTCAAACTTCTTTCTCTTCAATCTCATTGTGATACAAGCTACTGGAGTTGGACTTTCCATGGGGAACCCGCATCACAGACGCTCGTGCGGTCGTGAGTTATGTAGCCTGCACAACATGAAGGTATCTTCTTGTTTGCATATGCATATTAGTTGCTGAACAAGCTTCCTTTTTCTTATTGCGCTTTCTTGTTCAATAATGCTCTCTTTTGCTTTTTGGGCAGGCTGATCTCATGGATCCTTTCATTGGTGAGATAGACTTATGCCTGCAACTTATTCTGGAAATTTTGTGGTATGTGAGGTTCCTTTGTTCAACACAGACAGTTTGTTTGATTTGTTGTTCCGCTGGTTGTTATAATGCTGTTACCATACATGGTGCTGCACTGGGCTCTCTGTGAAACATCAGTTAGGAGAAGCTTGCTGCTTGCGGAAGTACTCACTTTGTGGTGCCAAGGAGACCTTTTTTTGGGGATGAATGACCAATTATTCTTTCTTGTAGGTGTCCAATGTTGATCTAATTTTGCATCGAATACCATTTTATTGAAAGATAGCTGCTGCTTAAAGTTTAGCCCATTTTTGGATTGTTCACAACTGAGATTCTCCCTACTCAGGATAGATCCATCCTGCCATTTTCAATTTGGTAAATTTTCTTTTGGCTGAATTATTGCTGTGAGAAGTCTTAATCTTGTTTGTATTGTACGGCAATCCAAAAGGAATATCTTATGTGCAGTTTGGTAGCAAGAAATTAAGTGTGGAGAATTTAGCAAAAAATGCTTGTTCGGTTGAAAAGCCGAAACCATTGCATGCAAGCAATAGCAGCAGACTGTACAACATGGCTGTTTGAGCTAGTTAAAAGCTGTAGATTTAAGGATTGTTCTTTTTACAGTCAAATGTGCTGCCTTACCGTGGTGTCTGCTGGCATTTGTGTTATATGGTTAGTCTGTGGTTTTGTTGAGGGAAAATGTGACAAGTGCCGGTGCACGCATTTATTATGCTTCGTCACAAATCTTCATCACCAAGGGCTTCGCTTTGCCTTTGCTGTGGAAATGCTTGGTGGTTAATTGCTCCTGTAGGTGTAACATGGGTTTCATCCTCGATGATCTTATGGTGTTCTGTCGTTCTCATGTTCTCATGTTCACTTTATTTTTGCCTGAGCGTCAGCATTATGGGCTTGGGTTTTTGGGATGGTTTCTAAATGCATGCATGATGACGGTGGTGGCTTGGATTGGTCTCTGTAGGCCCGTTGATCTCAATTGCATGTCACATTCAAGATTATAGAAGGTGACTGTTGCACACAGGGAAGGTCTTGTGACCCTTCAACCTCATCAAGAATTGATGAAACCCGAGTTGATAGTTACGGGTTTGCTTGATTTATGAAACTATGGCATTCTTGTGGATGCTGATGCTTTTGGCCAGGACGGAATCCGAGAAGCCTCTGTGTGGTTAGAACGACTGCCGTGAATGACGCGTGTGCATCATCCGGAGGGCTTCTGGATGGGTGTGGCAAACCTGAGCCGTCCGATTTGCCGTTAGTTCAACAGAGTGGAAAGCCTAAACTAAAATATTATGTTTTGGATTCATATGCACACATTGATGAAGATTATGTCCATGTCATCAGGTTCAAAGTGCCAAGTTAATTCCTTGACCGTCCATTCCTCCCTGGAGGGTCCCAAGCGATCAATCATGCCATTTTTATTGTCTGCTTAACGACACACACAGACTGCACCCCACAGGCCAAGAGAAAAGGCAAATCAGCACCAGATCATGCGGTTCTCATGGTGCTTTCATTCAATGGACTTGTCACTACACTGATATCCGTGGCATTGGCCGACAAATAAATAATTGAGAGAGCTATCATTGCAACGATGAGAACAACGGTGAACATGCCTACTAATTCAAACAAATACCTTTGGTGCAGAAAAGAAGTCTTCTTCGTATAGAAGAACACCAACAAATGCACTGTACAACACCAAATTGGGCTGCTTATAGTTTCACCCTCAGGCATATAATAATTGGTCACCAACCCATCATTGTTCGCCTCACTCTATCCACAATCTGACTTCTGGCCTGGCTATTTGCCGGTGGCAGCTCCCCACTGTCATCCAAGAGAAACCTGTAAACCTCCCATTGCCTCCCAAAAGCTGTGTGCCTGCCAATCTCAGCCTGCGCATAACATGGAATGGTGTTTGGACTAGTCTTTGAACAAGTCAGGTAATACAGGAGAGGAAGCTGCATTTTGCTTACTGAGAAAACGCAGATTCCGAGCAGTTTCAGTGCAAGTGTGACATCATGAAAGACACGAGGCCTCCCCTTTCCACACAATTCGACAGGATTAGCTACGAGGAGTTCAGCATCGGGTCCACGATTGGCGATTACAACTCTCAAAGGATGAAGCATTTCTAGCTTCAATCGGGAAGAGAGGATATCCTGCTTGTCAGGATCAATTACCTTCTTTCCGTCACTTTGCTGGACGAAAAGGTCCACCTCTCGTGAGCCTCTCTTGTCTGACAAAAATCGCCCATAAGCTACCTGCAGAACAAGCAATAGAAGACATTGGTGAATGACGCTGCTGTCTAATAAGATGGATTGAAGACGTTGATGATAGTGGCACCATTTGGGATCATTTAACAAGTATCAGAGCAAGTCCGCAATTATTTATCAACTGGTCTTATCTAGTATCATGAAAGACGAGTAGACAAGTGATCGAGTTGAAGATGAAACATAAAATACCTGAATGCTGCAGTCCTTTAAGGTCCTAAGAATGTCGTAGAGGAGGCCCTTCTGATCAACGCAGTGGATTTGAATTAGAGTGTGGGAATGGCTCAAAGAATTGTCGATGTTTACATCAGCCTTCTTCAGCCTTTTCATCTCCGGGCTTAGTGTCTGCGAACATACTTCACCACCTGACATCTCCAGCCTAAATAATTCTTCCAATGCAGCTGGCGGAAGTGAAGAAAATCCCTGTTGAAAGCTTTCAGCAAGCTCAATCTCGCAGCTATTCATAGACTCTCCTAAAACTGCACTTAACCTCCCACATGTATCATCCTGTCTTGCTTTTGTGTGCAACAACTCCCTAATTACATGTAAAGAAGTCTTTAGAAAATGATGAAAAAAACATTATCTTAATTATTCATATGCCAGGGGATTTTTACAACCTATTTCCTCATAACAAAGAAGATCGAGTAAGGTTACAATCTATGAACTAAAAGAACTAAAACAAGACATTCAACACATGCTCTTCTTATTAGTACATCATCATCTGTAAGCCAGAAGATTAGTATTTCTTGCAGCAAATCAGTAAGTAGAATGCAGTATATGGCAAATGAGATTATACAAGGGACAGAGATACAGATACGGTCGAATTACTGGTTTGGTAGACATGATATTATCTGTTCAGAAGCAGCAAATATACAGTAAAACTAGTCAGACAGAAGTTTAATGGACGATTACAAACGTAAAGCCAACACAATCAGTCTCGGAAAATGAAGTTTTATTGTTGTAGAAGCAGTTCTTAGCTTCTTATGTGCTATGGAAATTAGGAGATCAGAGCAGCTACACAATTGCAGTCAACACAATCAGTAAGCTATATCTGATAGATCCAACTTACACGGCATCTGTAATAAAGAAAAGGTCCACAACTCTACCATCTGGAGTTGTTGATACTTTTACTCGATGAATCGTAAGCTCGAGCTCACAGAGAACTTTAGTGACATCTACATTAAGATTTCACAGGTATCAGAAAAATCCAATCCCCAACCTGAGAACCAAACAGATAGGTTACAGTTGGTTACCGTGCAGCAATCCCTTCCGGTCGACAGAGAACAGCTTCAAAAGGTACATTTGTGATGTCATGGGCCTATTCGCCATGTCAAAGTAGAACGGGATGGAACAAGGTGGACAAAGAGACAATAGCCTGTTCTTCAAGCTCGGCCATTGGATGTTGCTGGAGGTCGAACGTGGAACGACCCAGAACACCAAGTAGCACCATTTCCCATCCGTCGATACATCTTTCAAAGAACACCACAGAGTTAGATCGTAAATTAGACAAGCAGAGCTGCTAAATTAGAAAGAAGCGAGCAAGTGCCATAAAACAGAGTAATCAACAAACCCTAAACCCTAATCCACGAAACACACCGTAAAATCATTACAAACAAAAGAAATGAGCAAAAAAAATCCCATTTTTGATAGAAGTACGGTGGAATCAGAAGTAATTAACTCAACAAGAAGCCAATTGAAAGGCAGATGGGGAACAAAAGATTATTGTCGAGTTGGAGCTCACAGACGGACCTCCTCGAGTGATGTAGAGGCCGAAGTCGAGGATGGCGCGGCAGAGGTCGCACCCGAGGCCGGTCTGGTCGGGGCAGTTGACGGTAACGACGGTGGGCTCCCCGGCCCGCTTGGCCGGCTGGATGACCACCGCGTCCTCGCTCGCCGCCACCATCCCTCCTCCGGCGCTGCTCGATCCCGATCCAACGGCGGTCGTCAGCCCCCCGACCGCATAGAAGACCGTCCCACTCGCCGGCGTCAAGCGGTACACTACCTCCAGATTCTCTCTCTCTCTCTCCCACTAACTCGCCATACCCTCTTCCTCTCGCTTCTCCCCACCCGACGTCGCGGTGCGTTGTTATATGATGTGTCGGCCGCCGCTACATTCTCAGGCCACGTCACTATGGATAGAGTCGGCGCTGTCTACCAGGTGGCGCTCTCTGACACGTGGGCCAATGACGACCCAATTAGCCTGCACATGACGTGGACCTCCTCCTCCTTAGTGACGCGAAGAAGATAGGTTACGTGTTCTCAGACTTAGTCGACTTCCATGGCTCGCAAGTTACAGGGGGATGCCGCAGGATTGGCTGGCACAGTACACTTTCTTTGTGTCTGAGGAGAATGACGTTCCTCGAAAATAATTTCGAATAGAGTTAAGTTGACTGACTTGTAGCAGAGAATCGTAATAAGAAACCAGTGATATTGCTTGCCCATCAAATGACGACCTAACAACAGGCGCAGTAAGCGACATAATAGCTAATCTAGAACAGAAGAAAAAATATATATTTGTGCATGGAACTGAAGCACTCAGAATACTTCAACATGGAGATTGCCTAACTCGACCCAGCAACATCTGGAAGTGGACTTTTGGTGCTTCATCCTTCTGGATCCATTAACAAGTCAACCAATATAAATGCTACGGTTTGGAGTTCGTATCTTTCTTCTTCGCCTCCACCAATCATGTTTGAATCAATCCATGGTCAACAAATGCTGCAAATGGTGCATCCACTCTATATAACATGCTGGGTGGCCGGCCAATGGAGCTCGCAGATCTTAGCCTTATCCAAATGGCTTTGTTTCAGCGTCTCCTCCTCCTCTCTCTCTTGCTTCCATTATCGGCTGCTGCTGCAGACTCCATCGCTCAGTACTGCAGCAAGAGCTTTAAGAGCAAGCAGACCCAGGCCAACATCGACCACGTCCTCGCCGACCTCGTCGCGAGTGCCTCCGTTGGTGGCTTTGCGACTGCTTCTTCTGGCAAAGGAGCCAGTGGAATCTACGGCCTCGCGCAATGCAGAGGCGACGTCAGCGCGGAGGACTGTTCGACGTGCCTGGCGGACGCAGCGAAAAAGCTCCCCACCACCGCATGCCCGAGCCAAGCCGACGGGCGGATCTGGTACGACTACTGCTTCATGCGCTACGACAACGAGAACTTCGTGGGGCAGTCCGACACCAGCGTGGCCACCATTCTCATCAACGTGGAGAACGCGACGGACCCCGAGAAATTCGACAAGAAGGTGGGGGTGGTGATGGGCCGGGCGAGGGCGGACGCGGTGGCGCCGGGGAACAACGCGCTCGGGAGGGCCAAACTGCAGTTCACCCCCTACATCACCATCTACGCGCTGGCACAGTGCACGCGCGATCTGCAGCAGCTGACGTGCGCCCAGTGCTTGTCGTCGGCGGTCGAGAAGTTCCCTGACTACTGCCAATACCGGAAGGGTTGCCAGGTTCTCTACAGCAGCTGCATGGTGCGCTACGAGATTTATCCCTTCTATTTCCCTCTCGACTCCACCAAAACTACTGCCGCAGTTGGTACCTACTACAAGGCCACCTTGCATCCTTAGGCCGTCTTGGTTTCTTCTCCTGTTAACGGCGAAGAAAGTGATGATGCTACTGTAATCCATATGAAGAAGCGAATAAAGAGTTCTTGAACCTACATGTTGTGATCCATATGAGAAGCACCGGTAGCTTCATTTTATTTCTCTTTTGATGGATCTCAAAACAAAGTGATATAAACTGATCGTGCACAATATAATATGATATCAACCCAACCATGCGAACTTGGAAACATTATCTCTCTCACATCATGATTAAAGTCAGCAAAAGCTTAACCTATTACAATGGGGATCTCAATCGATATATCTATCTCTGTGCGTGAGTCTGCTCATCATGTGGGACTGAATCTCTTTGACATGTTCACTGTCTGTAACGCAAGAAAATGTAGGGATAAATACAGGAAAAATAAATGTTGAAGTAACTAACATGCATCTGCAAGAATATATAGTCCACCGTTCCACCTTATGGAACATGGCACTATCAATCTGAAATACTATTTGAAGATGAAATAAAGGAACAATTATCGAGTTCTCAGCCTTCATGGCTGTTAAAATGTATGCCACTCGTCGACATGAAGTATGTAGACGCCTGAAGAGATGTCTGGTAGTGGAATTGTTGGTGTCTAATGCCTAAAGTCAACGTGAATGCTGGTCGTCTTTCCATACCTGCTGGCAAAACCAACCAACAGTCAACAGAGACAGCCAATAGTATATAGTTATTCTGATTGAAATAGGTCGCCTTGTTTGACGAAAATTAATGGGAGTCAAAATTAGATCCAGTCTGATTAAGTAATTGGCTCAGGATGGCGAAAAGACTTTGGTACCTGCATGTTGAATACCCGGTTGGTACCTTACTTTTCATGGGTGGCGATAATGGCTCCGCGTGAGCTAGAGTAGTGGCGTTGGACAAGAGTAGCGTTATGATTCGTTTTGGGGTTTTTGTTTGTATTAAATTCTGGAGGCTCGAGCTGCACTCGATTAGAAGTAGTTCAACATATACCTCTCAACCGCTCGAATAATTGCCCGGCGTCTCTTTTCGCCGATGTCTCTCTTGGGATGGTAATTATTAGTCTTTTCAATTCATCGTCCATTATCTACCTGATCACCTCAGTAAATTATTTATTCTTTTTAACAAGATATTGATTATTGATCAAGATGTTTTGAATTTGTTATAATCATATTTATCGTGTGGATGTTTGTCGAGTTCATCTTGCTACGTATAGTAAACTATTGTTTGAATTCTAGATAATTTTATTCATTATATTCTAAGGAGAGACTAGAAGAACAATAATAATACAATGGTATTATGATGATTCATGTTTCATAGAAGAAAGCATCATTTTGTTCTCATGTAGATAAAGACTATGTCTCCTAAGCTAAAACTTTATATTAGGTTTTGGAAGACGAGCTCTGTTGTTTGTGAAGCATTTTATGTTACTGTGATCTACAGGAAAAAACTTAGTTTTGGAGGTTTTAATAATATTTACTAGATTTAAGAAGAATATTAATATGATGATAACATATTAGAAATATTCTGCAAGAATTGACACACATCAGGTGAAACTACTTGCTTCTTATGAATTAGATTCGATATTTGTGGGAGATAACAGTGAAATTCTGCTATGGGTTGTTGTTGTTGATGATGATGTTGTTGACATGATTGTACTGAATGCTACTAAAGCCGTCTAGTGAGCTAGCATTTCTTGGTCCAAATGGTAAAAGTCACAGAACATGGTTCAATCTTCATGAGATTATGCAAGCAGAACTTCTTAAAATGCTCTATATCTTTGTCAAGTATTCAATACTAGTCAAAATTTTATAAGACATCATATAGATTAATTATTTGAATGCTATCGAGGATTTTATCTTCCTGACTTTTGACAAGCCTAGCGAACTATTTATCATATTTTTTTTTTCTTCTGGATGAATCGTGCATTTATCTGGATGAATCGTGCACTTATCATGGCTAGATTTACATGCCACAGGTGTGCCAGAGACACTGGGTGTCTCATTCAAGCTCTTCCTACCTTATGCATTCATCATGTCTGTATCATCATCGACAAAAATATCTAACTTCTAAGTCTTGCTTAACCCATGGAACAATCTGTTAGGATCGAGAGCACTAAGAGGGGGGGGTGAATTAGTGCAGCGGAAATCTTACAGCGATTAAAACCAAAAGCTGCGTTCGTTCAATAAAAACTATTATGATGCAAAAGCTAATTCTCAGTTTGTATCTAAGTGCAGTTTGCGTCTAAGCGCAGATTGCGTCTAAGCGCAGTTTGCGTCTAAACACAGTTTGCGTCTAAGCGCAGTTTTGCGTCTAAGCACAGTTTGCGTCTAAACGCAGATTTACGTCTAAACTCAGATTTACGTCTAAACGCAGATTTACGTCTAAACGCAGTTTTACGTCTAAACGCAGATTTATGTCTAAACGTAGTTTTATGTCTAAACGCAGATTTACGTCTAAACTCATATTTACGTCTGAACGCAGTTTTACGTCTAAACGCAGATTTACGTCTAAACGCAGATTTACGTCTAAACGCAGTTTTACGTCTAAACGCAGATTTACGTCTAAACTCAGTTTGCGTCTAAATGAAATCAAGACGTAAACGTAAACTG